TCACCGGGTGGTAAACAACAGGTGTGGATGAGAGAATGGTAAATGAAAAAAGTTTATTCACCCCGTGGGTGGTGGAAAGCACCCGTACGCTTATCACCCGCGTGCCGTGGTTGTACTCGCTGGCAAACAGTGAGAAACGTTTTTAGTGCATAAATTCGTACTAAAAAATAAATGCATATCTAAGGCATGGGCTAGGTGATATTGTGCGAAACCGATTCCGGCAAAGACAATGCCATATCAGTTAGTGACATGCTGCGTTCAATATGTTTAATTAGTTTGCGCTCATCCGTAGATATTTTTTCTTGTCCAGCGAAATCAAACTCTCAGGACGTACCATGCCAACGTTTTTGTGCACGGTACGCCGGGAATTTTCTGACTTTCGAAACTTGCACATTGCCGTAGCATTTCAATCGGTAACGTACGGAATCCATGATCGTAATAATGTGCGTTCAAATCCGGGACGCGTTATAAGTTTCCCATTAGTTTTTTATGCAAAATGTTGAATTGTTTGCTTACAGTCAATGCACGCTGAAAAACAGAAAAATATGAGCGCAAGATTGTGTTTCAACTTTAAATGCATTTACCATAGTAGAATCAACGCCACGTTATCTTTGGTTCCAAACAGATAAATAGGTAGTGTAAACTGCAGTTTGGGCCGTTAATGGGAACTAGAAGAAAAAACCAATGGTACCACTGTTGCTTTGCCACATTCCACTGCAGCTTGTGTACTGAACTTCGTTCTACCCGGCGTTTGTTATCTCGGTTTGCTCTCGCCGAACCGATGAAAAGTTGACCGAAGTCCAACTTTCCGCCGGCTGCTGACCGGACTGTTCTGCCCCCCCCCCCTCCCCCACTGATATTCACCAATCCCACCTCGGTTCACACCGTCGCTGCAGATGCAGTCCATCATTGTTGCCCCCGCTGGCCGTCCATCCAGGCAGGCGTGTCGCGGTGTCAACCGGGCGTTACAGGTAACACGTGTTGCGTCTGTTGCTGAATTACGTAAGTTGGTCAGTGCATTGGCGAGGAACATTATTCACATAGATAAGACAGTAGTATAAGCCTTATTCCTCGGGGAAACACCGGGATAATGGAGATATAGTTGGGTTGATATTTCGGCAGCACGCTTTCATCGAAACAATAGCAAAAACTGTCACCTTCCCTGCTCTGTATGTTTGGAATGTGCTGAATTGTTTGCTTATAGCCAATGCATGGAGAAAAAAGAGAAAAATCTGAACACAAAATTGTCACAAAAAAGGAGCAGAAGTATAAACATATATATATATATATATATATATATATATATATATATATATATATATATATATATATATATATATGTGGATGTATACGTATACCGCGCCCTTATAAACACATATGCATGCATATGTTTTTTAATTATACAAAAAGGTGGGTTGTGTGAAAATGAACACCACATACCTGTTTAACTACCGGCACGATATGTGGAAGCTGTATGATAATAAATATCGATCATCATCAGGGACCGAAAAAGTTTATACCAATGCACCAGCCAGAAAAAAATCCAAAGGGTGCGATTCGCAAGATTACGCCACCCATAATACAAATATGTGTGAAGCCATATTTTGAAAAGCCACACGGCACATCATCGGAGTGACCTGACATGCTCCGTCTAGGGTCACCACACCTTCTTGAGCGTGAGTTCGTAGCTCACGTGACCCACCTGTTCCGCTGACGACCACGGCGCCCGCTCCCTCCAACGTCGGCCCCGCCGGGACACTGCCACCGGCTACGGGTCGGTCGGGCCAGTACGGTCGGGCAGAGGCGGAGCCAGGCACGGCGCAGAGGCGGTGTCAGGCACGGCGCACAGGCGGAGCCAGGCACGGCGCGGGGCCGTAGCGTGGGTCTCCAATGTGCCGCAGCGAGGGGGAGAGTTTTCATGAAAGTCAACCTGCACATGACATATTCGCCACCGGGGCGCCGTTTGACATTAATGCCATACATGCTCTGCCCTCTACTAACTGCGCATTTTTTTCAGCTTTGAGACATCAGTGTAAAGTCGTCAGAACGTTCATCAGAGTAAAATCGGTGAAACTCTTGAAAAAAACTGAAAAAGCTCATCAGAGTAAAGCCAGTTCGACTGCAAATACTGGCACGTAGTGGTTCCGACGTTGATGTTTGATGCAAGTACACTAAGTATTTTGATGTCAGACGCAAGCACGCTAAGCAAAATTCGTTTGAAAAAATCCTAACGAAGAAGATCGCATGCAGATGACACATGACTCTCCTCCTTGAAGCCGGGCTCCAGATGAGCGGTCATTGCGGGGGCGACCACATATAATTCTCTACAGAAAATGTCCTGCCGGCCGAGGAGGGGACGGGAAGGCATGACGGTGGGCATGAAGGCGGGCAGTGGCCAGGGACGCAGTCAGAGCTTTGCTAAGGGGGCCAGGCAGGGGGAGAAAAGTGCTTTTTCTGTCGCCCACGAAATTTGGAACCGTCCTGTAGCCGATTGTTTTCA